GCCAAGTGTACTAACCTGCCACTTGAGATAGTCAGAACAGGCCACCTACAGACAGACTGGATATTGTGAAGGGCAGACAGCCGTGCTGACAGGCTGGTTTTGAAAGCTTTTCCTAAATACCAACATGGCAGGATCAAACATCAGTACTTCTGGTTTTCTCCATCAAATTCTCCCTACTCATGCCATTTTGACTTCCATATTAAAATAAAGTGTCTTTAGCTAGGATAAGATGAATTATTACAATGGAAAGTCGTTAAAAAAACTGGGGAAAATGAAAAAGAAGTTATGGGAAAGAGGCATCTGAAATTTTCAGGTTGACCAACTCCACCATAAAACTTTGGCAACAGTTCGAGTTCCAGTCAGCTACTGGAAGAACTTTGTTTCATACTTTATATATTTCATATGTTCATATATGTTTCATACTTTATATATTGTATATGACTACAATGAAAATTACGTCTAGAAACTAGGAACGAAGCTGAAGTCAGCTTCTCCTCATTCTTCCTGACGAAATCTAAAGGCAGGAACTTTCTCTGAAGATACCAGAGCAGAAGGCACTAGAGAAAGGAGGCTATCTATCCTTTCAATATCTCCCCAAGCATAATTCAATCTGCCTATAGCATAGGATTAATGTTGACTAAACCCAGTAACCCAACTGTGCAGGTTCTGTAGGAAGAAGAAGAAAAACTAAATATCCCTTTGACTTGATTATCTTCCTCAAAATACCTTGAATGGACTGTGAGAACAAAAAAGGAAAAGAAACAGGTTCCTCCTTCACAGGGTGCCCTTGTAAGTAAGAATCCAGACCCAGAAGGGATTTATCACAGCACAGGGAGACTATCACCCTCCTTATGAACATGACTGCACCATGCCCCAGCATTGGATTACTTGCTCTTGTGGGTGGGGAAAAGAGTATACCTTAATCTTCACACTATACAATTTTTCCTCTTTTCCTTTCTTCAACAGCTCAGTAGAAGGATTTTTTTTTAAAAAAAATTTAAGCAACTTATTTTTCCCTACCCCCAGGCTCATATACCTGAACAGAACTCCTCTGAGCAGCAGTTCTTTTCAGTAAGCCTTGGTCAATCTGATAGACTACAGCATAGCTAAGCTCTGTGACTGAAAAACCTGGCCTGCTTTTCTACGGACGAACGCTCACTGAATCCATCAAAGCTTCAGGCTACAGTGGACGTGTGTATTCATATGCTTTTCTAAATCTGTTCCAAGCTGATGAACAGCCTAAATGGGTTTTAAATTTTAAAGCAAGCTTAGGCTAACACTTTGCATCTGCACTGGCTGCCATTCAGCCCAAGAATAATTTAATACTTTACAGTGTGCTTCTGCTCAAAAGAGAAAACTGTACAGGCCTTCAGAAAGGACAAGGCATTTACATTTTTAAAGGAGTACACTTCTGATTCCTTTGCTGTGATCCCAGTATTGGCATTTTCAAAGTTTATGCCTTAGAGGGCCATGAAAATAAGACTACAATGTGCTTCTGCTAAAATCAGCCCTCCAAAGCAATCAGATGACAGGAACAACACACAGATGACCTGAAGATATTTCCTTATGTCACATCATCAGTTTGAGGATGTATTGGAAACTTTAAAGCTAAACAGTATCACTAATTTGAGGATAACTGTTTACAGACCAGCTTTGTTAGTGACCTCATTTTAATCTGCTTGTAAGCACAATTCTTTTATCTAAGAGCAGAGGCCATGAATTATCACCAGTGTGAAAACCCCTTTTTTAGCTGCTCTCAGTGACTAGCTGTGTTTTAGGGTCAATTTAATCTATATTTAGAGGATGAAGCTTCTATAAAGCTTCATTATTTCTCTGTGTAGCTTGTATGACAAAGGCACTTACCAGTGAATGGTGGTTTCTTGTGAAAAACGCTGGCTTAGGGTAAACAGTTGAGATGTGGATCTGGCCTGTATACCCCTGTGCCAACTGGGGGACTTGCAATCAGCATCACTGTGCTTGAACACGGCAGATTGGCAATCAGGTTATGTCCAAGTCCCATGACTAAATCAATTCAACCTGCCTTCAACACTATTATTTTTTAAATTTCAAAACAAACATAGAAAAGATTCCAAAAATTCAAATGCTTCACGTGGAGCAGATTTAAAAGCAGTGTTTGAAATATACACACCAAAAAGCAAAGAAGGGCCTGGATGAATGCCACATCCCCCAGCGTGCAACAGACTGCACAAAACCTAATGGCACCATATGAAGATCCTCCTACATCTTATTCCTTACTCCTTTTTCTGCTGCTTCTGGCTTCCATCCCTAGCCAAGTATTCAGGTGATTGTTTTTTCTTGGCCTGGCCACATATACTAGCATCTCTTCAGCCTCTCTTAGCATCTGCCTCTTGGAGAATTGCTTTTTGCCCCTTCCTCCCAAGGGATGGCTCCAACTGGCGCCGACACTTGGGGTCTATGTTTGGAGAGGTCCTGCTACCTCTACCAGCTGATCTCATTTTCAGTGGCACCATCTGTCTGCCTTCCTCCTTGATTACTTTTAGCCCTAGGGCACTGCTTTCCTTGGTCACACTGAGTAACACAGCATCCTCTCTTGGCTAAAGGCTGAGTTCTGACTCAATCCTTTCCACTCATATTGCACTGTGCACTGGGAGCAGTGGAAGGATACACAGCAATGATCACAGCAGGTTCATAATGGCATATCAGCACCAGAAAGGCTTTGAATCAAGTGTCAGTGCCAAGCGTTTGTAGCAGATTTGCTACACTGCTACACTGTGAGCTTGATTTGGGTGGAAAAATAATAGCTGAAACAGCCATTTGCAGGAAGCGTGATCATTATTTCCGTAAACACACCCCCACCCCCACCCCCCAACATATCTGAGAATGCAGCGTATAATTGATTAAACTCAGTTTGGGTTAAATAGCTTCTCTTAAAAATGGTGTAGTATCAACAATCTCTGTGGATTTCAGAAAGGGCTATACAGGCAGCCGAGCATTTTCATACTTCTTCCTTTAAATGTACTTGATCCGCCTTATTGGCCAGGTTGTTATACTATTCTGAACAAAAATAAAAGGCATTTTCCTATTAAACCTCAGAACTAGGGAAAAATCTTCCATGTACTTAAGCTTCCACAGAGCATTCCACTACTATATTCTTTCCTGTTTTGTCCTATGAATTGCTTGCAACAGCCAACCCATCTGTAGACTGCAAAATAAATTGCTGCAGCTTAGCATTACACTGCCTGGACGGTGAGGCAGCATTCAGATCTATGAGGCAAATCCGGGGACTGATTTCACCAATGGGACTTCCACCTCTTATCCTTGTTAGAAGCTATCTCCAGAGCGAAGTAGGTGCATGGAAAGATCAGACACAGAGGTGACAAAGGAGCAGTAAGAACATCAATACCCCTGTGAAGCTCATGTTTGCAACAAAAAGCCTCACCCATGGAACTGGCAAAGTTGACTTTTGCTCCCCTTGAGAACTTTAGCTTTTGCAACACACAGCAATCATGTTGAACATTTCAGTGTTTCAAGATGAATGCAAATATTGATATCTTGCTTGCCAGCACTCCCAGGGAGAGCTTTGCAGAGTGCAAGGTCCTTCCCACTGAACTGCCACGCTACCAGTTCTCATGAATTAAGAATGAACTGTGCAGCTTTGTATGGGTACCAAACTGCTGCCATCAAAGGGCTCGTTGTGTTGAATTTCAGACACTCTGGGAAAAGTGCAACAACTACCGTCGTTGCTGCACAGTGCCTGAAAATCCAGTTAAGGATCCCTAAGAGAAGAGCCAGGGTAAGAAGGAACAGGCACAGTCCCATTTTAGAAAAGCACAGATGAGAAGCTATACTCACATGGTATTTATTTCAAAACCCTTTCCGTGAATGTACATTTTCTGATGCTGAATGCAAAACACAATTCCACGTCACTCTGTAATACCACCTTCATCTTGGTCAATACCTTTTGCACTGGACAGTTGCCCTGCTCATTATTAAAGGCACCCAGTAATGTCATCTTTCTGCTCCAAAGTGAAAGCAGTTTGTCCCTATATAAACTATAAATTAAGTGCAGCCACTGTTTCCTCTGCTGGAGATAGGCATGAATAGCATCCTATATCCTGAAGTACCCAGAATAGAAAAAAGGGCCTTGAGTTTGTCACAGCCATAATGACTCAGTCTCTCATTAAACGTCACTCAACAGGGTTGAGGCTTATGCACCCCATGAAAAGCACTGGTCAACCCCCACAGCCTTGCTTTCACAAAGGCTTTAAGCAGTTGTACTTGGGTAAGGAAAAAGGCGTCAGGCTTCCAGTGAATTAAAAATCTTCTTATTTGTAATGCAGAAGTAGGAACAGGGTATGTATTGTAATAAGTTATCTTGGACAGAAGATACTTTTTTTCCTAAAGGCATAACAAATCAGTTGTGCTTTTGATGTGTCCATCAGCTATACTGGTGTGATTAAAACAGGTAGAGCATCAAGCTTCCCTTACAAGATCAGGGCCTGTAATAGAAAACATTTTAAAATACTTACATAGTCATGCCCTGATAACAATGCACTTCATGGTGCTAACAATAACTCGGGGTTGAAGTGACTGTAAAATAATGTTTAACCACATATCCAATATGTATTATGGGATGCATGGCTATACATATCTTACAGAGAACATTACATCAGATAGCTCATGATATAAAAGAACATACTTGAGAGATGCTTTTGGAGTGATTTTTCCCCCCAAGATAAGATCTCAGGCATCTGTCATCTATCTTGCTCCTACCAAGCTAAGGAGGCTGACAGTGTGAAAGAGAAAACCTACTGTAGCTTCCATTTCATTTGACTTGTAAAGAGAGTCTGCAAAACAACAGAGAGTTCTACTGTTTCAGGAGTGACTATCAATGACAGGCAGGCATAAGAAGCATTTTCTACTGGTCACATTGCCACATGAATGACCCCAGTTTTGAAGTGAAAGAAATACCAGTATCCCCAAGTTTATCAAAGACTGAGTTATATCGAGGAACATACCTTTGAGATGTTACTAGAGCGGCTCATGGAATGCCCCAAAGCCTTCTCATTCTGAAAGAGGAAGAACAAGATCACTGCAGCAACAAATCACAGTTATAAGAATATTTTAAAGCTGGCATTAGAAACCAAATTCCACGGAGAAAGTCTTACAGCTGTGGCTTTTAAGGATGCTGCTTCTATTGACATCTGCCTGATTTATGATAATCACTAAACTGCTTTGTTTGCTTAACAACGTTTTACACTGCAGAAAATCACACAGGCAAGACAAGTACAAACCGAAAAATACTAGAGCAATGATTTATTCTCTCTATGAATACTGCAAAGCACTTTTCTCAGATGGCAGCTATTTTGGAAAGGATATTTCTTAGCCCTGTTTCAGCTACATCTAAAGGCTAACATCCAACCACTAAAGCTCTTGCTAAAAGAAAAACAAAAGTATCATAGCGATGTCCAGAAACAATTGTGAATAATCACATGCATGTCATTTCAGAAGACAAAGCTGAATCACTGAGGAACTTTCGATTTACCACAGAACTCAGAATTAAACTGGAAATATCATACAAGATAGAAATGCAGAAGCTACAACTCTCAACACTGAAATTGGTGATGACTATCTGTTACTAACTTTACAGACCCTGACTGCTAAGGATGACAATATTATCTCCTACCAAAAAAACCCCATAGGTTTCACGAAGATATTTAATCCTTTAAGGTTTCTGAACTGGTTTCTGGTTTCTGAACATCAGTTTACTATGAAGTGTAACAAAACACCATTGCTCCACTAGAAAGAGCCTGGGAATTACTCTGCAAAAACTCTTCTGAATAAAATCCAACAAGAAATACTTTTTTTCTAAACAAGTATTACAAACAGGGCAAGTTATAACATCTGGTTACAAATCAGTATCTATGTTCCTCTAAGTCTGTGAGGCTGGGATGCATATTGGTTTGAGATTTAAACCCTCTGAAAAAAGGGTAAATTTACTACTTTCTCCTCTGGGCTTTACACTGGGTAACAGTATCTAGAAGTGCATCTTTTCATCTGGGATTTTAGGAAGCAAACTCTTTCACCTTTATTCCCCAAGAGAATTTAACCTAACAGAGACACTTTGACAGCACACTCTTCCAGTTCTCATTTCCACTGACTGATCAGAGCTTGAGATCAGAAGTCCTGTATATATAATAAATGGGGACATAAAACCCCCCCTGAACCAGTCAACTGCTGTTACTTTTAGATCAGTTTGGATATAGCACACTGGTTTCAGACCTCCTGCCTCTGTTTGTTACAGTTCAAGTGACCCTCAATGACTGAAGCCCACATCAAGAAAGCCCAGCTGGCTGGCCACCCACACTTTGAGATCCCTGCGCTCCCAGACACTTCTTCCTACAGCACATCCCCAGAGCAACATAAAGCTTTGAGTTGAGAAAAGAGAGGGCAGGCAAATACTGCAACATGTGCTCACAAAAGCAGGCTGTCCCTTCCTTACACCACCAGTTGCCTCTCAACAGTCCTGGGCACTGCCTCAGTTGACATATAAATTGCACTTCCTCCCTTAAAAACGTGAGGAAGCAAATACAGTGTTCTGAAATCCTCTGTCTGCAGGAATTTGTGTACCCAAAAGACAGTAAAATAGTGTTTCAGAAGAACAGAGGAGAAGCAATCACAGAACCCCCTGCCAGTTTTGACTGATAGCCAAACTTAAAACCAGCACAGATCATTTTAAGACCTGGAAGAGTTGTGGCCTAAATTATCATGGACTCGAATGCCAGATTTGAAAACTGCAGGGCTGAGTTTGATATTAGAGATGACTATGAGCTTTTGTTATACAGGTAACAGTATTCCTGGAACACAAACAAACACATAAAGACCCCCCAAAATATGGACATGATACTTATGTGAAGACTAACATTGGACGGGACTACTGCCAGAACCAGTATGGCTAAGAATTGACTCTAACTGTAAGGGAAGGACCTAGCTGATTTCATCAAAGGCAGTGTAACTATAGCAACAGAGAAAAAAAAAAAAGGTTCATTGAAGCTACAGAAGATGGGAGGGAGAAAAAAGGGGGCAGGGAAATGTTCTCAAGCTATGATGAAAAGAGACCAACACAAGCTGCCGAGCACAAAGACTTGTCATTGCGTATGTGAGGTGTGAGGGAATGCTTGGCCTTCTAGGGACATGTGGAAGGTAAACAAAGCAAGGCTATGTGGGACCAGGGAAAATGAAGAGCAGGACCTGTGGCCAAGAAGTCTGCCTGAAGCAACACAAACAGCTCCACACAGGTGACAGTCTCAAATCCAGCCCTAGGTACCCAAAACTTCTAGGTGAAATTCCTATAAGACAAAATTAAACAGAACAGAGGTTTCTTCACATTAAATCAGAGCTCCCCAAATACTGCTGTCTAGCTGAAAAAGATGCCTGCAAGGGAAAATGACTGAACAGGCACCTGTGTTGAAAAGGATGTGCTAAAATTCAATAAGCATGAACAGGCTGGAGGACAAGACTTATATTTGCACAACACAGTAAACGATGCAGAGCAAACACTCTTAGCTGCACCACAGAATCTTAGTCTTTCTGCTTCTGCTCCCAGAACTGATTTCATCTGATGGGTGCCAGGAGCCTCTAAGAGACAGATGCTCATATTATCTTTATTGATCTACTGTTGGAAACATACCTATCAGAGGTTTCAGTCAGTAGATGACTATGAACAGTTGGTTTTGTTATTGAAAGAGACATTTAAAAGAGACATTTTTAAACAAAAGAGCGGTCTTGAAAAATATTCCCTTAAGGGATACGGAGTATATGCACACATATTTAAGTACAGGTGTTATTAATGACTCCTAGCCCCCCCAAGTGCTCTTTCACATCTCAGTTTCTTTATCACACAAAGCTAGTACATAAAGTCAACAGGACATTAACTACAGCTTTAGCTCAGGTTGGCCAAAATCTGTACTCTAAAGAGTTACTTATACCAACAAGGAGGAAAAGCACCAACTCAGCCATATTTTCAAGGAGTGACAACTGACCCAATAGCCCCTACCAGATCCAACACAGACCTGCGAATAATACACACATTTTCCAGTCTGGCTGGATCATCAACTACCAAGCAGCCCCATCACCCAGATAAAATTGCTTCAGTCCTTGGACACCAAATGACCCTGTCTTCAAATCAGGGACATTTTTTGAAACAGCTGCTTCAAGTCTCACCGTTTACATACACACAGACTTTAAAATGTGTTGGGCTAAAACCAAATAAACAATTGAGTTTCACTGTGCATCAGCAATTTCCAGTTGACTATGACCACTCGAGTAGCACCACTGCTGAAAGACTGTACAGTGCTTTCTTGACAGCTTCTGCAAAGAACCAGAAAAATTATTTCATTTTTAAAAAATTCATTAAACACCAACAGAAACAACCTCTAAATAGCACAGTTCACGAAGTCTAGCTCTGCTGTTTAATTCTCTTTCACAAATAAAATAATAAACATCTATCCTTCAGGAAAAAGCACTGTGGAAGCCATTAAGAAGAGACAGTGCTTGCTGGTGTTTCCCATGCTGCAATACATTAAGGATGCCATATGTTTTCTAGTCATTAAGATAGAAAAGAGCTATAAAGCCACGAAAGAAGCTCCTGGAATAGGTAGATTAGGCACAATTACTAAGTGAGGAACAGAACTGTTAAATAGATAAAAATTAGTTTTAAAGCAAACAAACAAAAGCTCACTTTTTCACACTATATCCATCGCTGATACATGAATCCTGGGATTTTTTACCAGTTATTCACAAATTAACACTGACATAGGAGTAGCAAGCCTAAGCTTCTATTATGATACTATCACTATCCAACAAATAAAGGTCTTCACAGACTTTTTCTAGTATGTTCCCATTGCACAGTAAGATATATTCTAGTCTGGTAATTACAGCTCCAAACAAGCTCTCCTCCCCTCTTGCAAAAGCGTTAGTCTTTTCATCTGAATGAAAGGCCATGAAAAAAATGCAACATCTGCCAGCATGGACCATACAATTATCACCAGTTAAAGCAAGTGTCGCTCTGCTTTAGTAGATCAGTCTTTCTATATCGGATAATGGGAATCCTGCATTTCAAAATCATCCTACTCAACTAGGCACTCAAAAAAAAATCTAGACAGGAAAAAAATTGCAAGTGCAATTTGTAACTTCTCCTGAGCCACTCACTGCCACTGCTGCTCTGTGGGCCCAATCAGAGCCTGGCTCTAGGAGAACAAAGAGGAAGGCAGAAGCAGGAAAATGACTGGAAAACAGAAAAACTGCTACCCATTCCTACAGTGCCACATTTCTGTAAATTTCGAATGCACTTGCTTGCAATTGTCTGTGTCCTCCTCCCAGCTTTCTTCTTCTATCTTCCCCTTGAATTTCCTCCCTACTGTAAGCAACAGAGCCGCCTCCTTCCTTCAGCAGTTGCTTCAGCTCACATCTGCTTTCCTGTAGGGCCGTTCATCTTGCCTGCTCCACCTTGTTGGCTCATCTTCCCTTTTGCCACCATTCCTCAATTACTCTTGCATGACACCTCTTTCCTTCTCAGTTCAGAGATCTAGAAACCGACACCTCCCTCCCATCTCCCTTTTACTTCAGTCTTCCATGTTCAGCACTTCACATTATTTTACCCTTGCTTTCCTACCATAACACATGCATTTCACACTAAGCCCAACACCTGTGTAATTTACCAAACCAAACCCAGAAGCCCTATGAATCCCAAAACAACCGTTCATACCACCTGAGCCAGAAGGACGGTCCTCAGTTACTGGCAACACTTTAGGCAGCCATAGCTGCTCCTGTGCACTTACAATATCAATGTATCATTCTGGCCTTTCTCCAAACTCAGCTGTAGAATTAATGCAGCCTCAGCAAGTGGGCACCCTAAAGAAATGCAGCTTGGCTGTCCTTGCCAAGATGGAAGGAGAAAAATATCTTGGTGGAATGGTTTGGTTTTTGTGTTTCTGCAGGTAAATAGAAGATAATAGAGGAAACAGTATCATAGCTTGTGTAGCCTTCTTCTGGAGATACATCCCTAACT